TGGAAGGTGCTCTGGACGACTTCGGGATCCCGAGAAAGGATCTAGTTTCGTCCTCCTCATCCTTCGACGTGCTGGCAACTGACCTCCTACCGCCTGAGAACACATCTGGATAAGGGAGAGCCTGCTGTCGCCATTCTTTCTCCAGCTCGACTGGAAGTGGAACAGTACTCTGCACCAATGTGCAATGCTTATTTTTCAATACCAACCACACCAGCGGCCGCTTGCTGTGAGGTGACCGCGCAGACGGACCCGTGTACAGCACCCAACGGTCGTCGATGGCATTGAACTTCCACACGTTGATGTCAACCTTCGCAGCTGTCACAGTGGCCCGCAGGGCCGCCGTACTCGCCAAACAGCCCGCCTTAGCCATAGCCTCGGCCGTCTGTGATGTGACGCCCAGCTTGCTCGCTTGCTTCTTCATCTCAGCAGCGACCAGGAATCGGAGCTTAGCTTGAACTTTGCCACCAGGTTGGTCGTCCCCAGCAGCTAGTGGTTTGGGCGAGGCTGTGGCATCACGCAGCGCTCGGCCCACACATAGGAAGAAGTAATCGCCTCCCCCTCCACATTCAACATCTCGGACGTGATCAACCCATGGAGCTTTGACCACACGGCGCGCCCGCTGCAGGGGGGGTTCGTCACGTGACGATCCCTGCTGGCGGGTCTCCACAGGAGTATTGGCAGGATCGGCAGGACCTCCAGCAGCGGGGCCAACCGGTTCAACAGGCTGTGTCGGCAGCATGTCTTCGTCCTCCTGCTTGACTGGTGGGAAGGCTTTTCTCGGTTGAGCTGCTCCCCAGGAGGACGCTGTCTTCATAGTGGGAGACTTCTTCTTATCCCCCGCGTTGTTGTAGGCCAAGGGCACCGTGATGCCGCTGGCGAACGTGTAGACTCTGTTGGCATCCGAGCGTCCCGCTGCTAGGTCGGCTCTGAAGAACCAACGATGGCGTCCTGCTCGGTGAGCTTTCGTGATGTTCGTGAAGCCGCGCTTGGCAGCCCACTCCTTAAGGTCCTCAGGTCCGACCCATGCGTCTGGAGTCTTGAGGGCACACCATCGAGGAATAATGTCCGTAGATAACGCTTGATCTGATAAGACTCCGAGCGATGCATCTTCAGAGGGGCGATAACATAATCTCTCCTCCAACGTGGCCGCTGAAGTCGAAACACGTGTGAGGTACGTCTCGTCCGCCTCGTCCTCCCTCTGCCGAAACCACCTCGGCACGAGCTTGGACGCCTGGGTATTGAGAAACACACCTCGTGGTAACTGGAACTTCATGAAGGTATGCAGGCTAGACTTCTTCATAATCAATAGACATGTGATTTCTAATTCATAATTCAGCGCTCCTTTGACTTTCAAGATCATCTGCTGAAGGTCACTGTTGAAGATCAAGGCTGCCAGCGCCACTGGACGCCGGACCGCCCGCGCAAACAGATCGTCCGCTGCAAAGGCCCTCGCCACTGTCAGTCGCACCTGGACTGTCTCGAGGGTCGTCACGCTCTGGATTGGGGCATCGTCCTGCACTCCCGCATGAAGCCCCACGCGTCTCGGAGGAGAACCCCCCAACTCAGTGATGAGGCACCGTTGAGTCACCGTACCCTTGCCGTTCGCCCCCTCCACCAGCACGTCCCCGAAGGCGGAGCCTGGCACGGGACGCTGCACGTGGAAGATGAGGATCGTCGCAGTTCGGTCGGCACCTCCCACTGCGTCGAGCCACTTGCGGCTTGGCAGACAATGAGAGGAGGTCGATCGTAATGACAATCTTGGAGCCGCTTTGCCGTCCACGCAGGACAGTCATCACCCCACGGGCTCTTGGCTACCCTGATGTCTTTCGGCTGCTGCTTCGGAGTGGTGGCGCTGCCCTCCATCGGGCCCGACGCCTTGGTACTATCAGTCATGCCGAGGAGCTGGATCAGCTTCTCGCGGACCTGCTCGTTCGAGGGTCTGTCGTTAGACTCGTCGACCTTCTTCAGCAGCGTTCTGCCGTCCTCCGACAGCTTTGGCCCCTTTTGTTGTCGGTGTTGCTGACGTCTGGTCTGGAAACCACCACCTACTCTCCCCGCGAGAGCTCGAAGTGATTCTTGCATCTTAAATCTCGCTCGCAAGGTCTCGTCGGCGCCCCTTCACCTTCACCTTCGATGATGATGACGATGATGGTCATGGTGATGGTGATGGTGACCGTAATGGTGATGGCGGTGATGATGAAGCAGTGGCCGGTGATGATGATGGCGAAGTGGAGGGGGAAGAGGATGATGAGGAGGAGGGCGTTGAGGGGAAGGAGGAGGAGGAAGAGGAGGTGGAGGAGAACTTGGAGGAGGAAGAGCGGAAGGAGGAGGAGGAGGAGAATTGGGCGGGTGATGGCGAGGGGGAGGGGTAAGGATGATCATGAGGAGATCGTCTGCCTGCTGCCCCCAGTGCTCGCCCAGGGGCACGCTGTACAGAAGTAGCAAGTCCCCTCGCCGGGCCGCACGGTCCTCGGTCGCGCCATGGCGATACAAGCGCCGCGCGTGGTGGTGAGAATCCAGGACGTGCCCCCTCCCCCGTCCCCCCTCCCCCTCCCCCTCCCTCTCCCCCTCCTTCGCCTCCTCCACCTCCTCCTCATTCTCCTCCTCGATCTTCGATCCTCGAGGACTGGTTTTCGAGCGTCTTTGTTTCTGTTTGTGCCTGTGCAGGCGTCCAGGAGTCTGTTGGCACTTCAGAGACCTCCTGAGTTAAGTCGACGGCTTCGGGAAGGTGGGCTCTCACACGCTGCTTGCCTGAAGGACCTCAGCAACGCCTTAGGCAGCACGTCGCACAGCACGCTAGGGGAAGTAGTTTCGTGAAATGCAGCGGCGGAGGACGTCGCCCTCTGCTGGCAGCGCTTCACGGAGGCGCTGACTTTGTTCTCGGCCGCTAACGGCTCGTTGCTGGCTCGCCCGACCCAAGGAGGTTGCATGGGCGACCCTTTCATTGTGGCAGCCTTCCTGGGCAGTTTCATGTTCCCACTGCCAAAGTGGGGGAGGGAGATGTATGGTTGGGATCTCAGGTCTAAGCTTCTAGTTGGGGAATGGAGCGGCAAGAGAGTGGATGCGTCGCTGCAGAAGTACGCTGACGATTCGAATCAGATTGTATTTACTGACCCAGGGGACTCGCACCAGACGTTCCTTGACAAGCTTGAGATGACGGACGGAGAACTAGACTTGTCCTTATCGCGTTTAAGTTTCGCCCAGAATATCTCGATACTGGAATTCCTAGTACAATTCGCTTGGTAAGGTCTCCGTAATCGTGGAGATTTGCGTTCCAGATACCTGGTCGGGATGGGGACGCTGAGGGAGGAGGCGCGTTACCTGGGTCCGTTTCTAACCATACATGATTCGGCGCGATCGGAAATTATTCGTCGGTGCTCGCATGCTCGTGGGGGCTTTCATTTGCTCACGGGCCTCTGGAGTCCCACATCTTGTGGCTACACGTTTGCGTAGGTGTTTATTCATAGGCTTCGTCCAGAATGCGCGCTGCTCTCGGGCCTCGAAAGCTTCCCCCTGTACCGCACAGACTATGACATCCTGAATTCTTGTCTTGCCCGCTTGCGAGGTTCGGGCGGCGATATTACTGTCCTTGTATAACAAAGAAGTTTTGAAATTCTAATGCATCCTCCCTTCCTCTCCTGAGCTCCACCTCCAACGGCTAAACATGTATCAGTCCAGGGGAAAGCATGCAGACCACCCATCGTAATTTCTCGTGGCACTTTTCGACACGCTTTCTTTTGATATCCGTCCACACGTGTTGGGCGGTCGGCCTACGCAGTGGGCTTCCCCATACCTGATGCAGTTGTCCCGTGACCTCGACGGGGCGGCGGCTGCTATTCTTCCGTCTGAGGCCATCGGCGATGTGGCCTAGGATCTGGAAGCTTTCGCAGACGCCGGGGCTATGGCAGATTTTTATGCAGTGGACATGAACAAACTTCGCAGCGAAGCCTTTGGAGTATGCTTCCCACCACGAGGGTGTGTCGAGTCTTCCTCGCATGTGCTTCCTCCGCCGGTTCGAGATTTTGGCGCAGGCAGGTTCGTGTGCAGCCACAGCGAAAATTGACAATCATGTGGGACACCATTTCAAACGAGTGGGGGGGGATTTACTATCACATATGAATGGGGCCCACCATATCCGAAATTTATTCTTTATCCTTGCGCCAAGTATCGGTTGCATCTGTTGCAAACAGGTTCTTGCATCCAAGAAATCGGCAGCACTTCATTTGGAACAGTGCCTGGGACGTGGTTATTGTATCCCAAACGCGGCTCGGATTCTAAACACATTCATCACGTTAATCAGGTTAAACAGCTATCGTTATCTTTGCTGTGAGTACGAGGGTGGTACATATGGCGATATATGCAGCCATCTTGTATCTAGCCGCCCGTCAGGGGATTTATCGGCAACTCCTGTACGTTCCGTGCCGTTCCAAGATGTCGGTCGCGGGCATTGAGGCGACGAAGCTCGTCATGCCCGCGTGGTGCAGCTCCTTTACCACAGGTGGCGGAGACATCTGTGGGGACGGAGACAACCACGGAGCAAAGACAATCAAGGGCCACACAGGCAAGCAGGGCGTGACCGCGCCCCTCGTCAAGTTAGTGCTGTCGAACAGCAAAGCCATCTCGGACATGGAAGCGCTGGAGTGCACCAAGGACAACACCGCGATGAAACAAGGCTTTCGTCGCAGCCGCCCAAAGCGAAGGCAGAGGATATGACGAGGAAATACAGCAATCTCAAGAAGCTCGCCCGCGAGCGGGCAGGCAGTCGATCGCAAGACGAGGGGCCGGCCGCACCTGGCCATCTTCGTGGCGGTATTCGGCTGCGGGGCAACGAGGACGGTAGCCGGAAGCAAAGGGAACGAGAAACAACAGGTGTCAGAGATGCTCGAGCCCTCCAAAACGCCCACCTCGCGTCGGCCAGCGTGTCCAACGCCGCAGAAGTGATCGGACACTCTTCGCGCCAAGGCCCACAATAATGCGAAGGTCAGGAACAATTCTGCACGATGATGTGGCACGTCAAGTCCCACAGGCTGGCCCTCCCGATCGACTACTTTCTGACCTCGGCGGTCGTTGCCGAGGGCGGCATGCGGCTCCATGGCCCAGACCCGCGAGGCCCAGTCGAGAGGATGACCAGTAACTCTCTGGAGGACCACAGCTAGCAGCATATCGTGATATGTTGAAGAAATCGGTTTCTGGAGGTTCACAGCTGGCAGCAAACCGTGAGTCGATGAGGCTTCCGCCTGCCCGTTTGCGCAGTGCCCGTCTCGCAGCAATGATGGCGCAAGGTTCTGTCCCCTCTCGTCCTCTTCCTGCTCCTCGTCCACCGCCTCCGTTTCTTCCCTGCTCCCCCGCGGCTGGTGGCCAGCCCCGCCCATGTGCTTCAAATTTCTCTGAGTCTGGGATTCCGTTCAGTGTCCAAAACCCCAGACGCGCAAGATGGGGCAAGGGGACACGTGGTCGTAGTGCTAAGGTGCAAATGTCCCAAATTCTCGTGCTCCCCGTGGCTGAGGGCCATTTGCGCCTACAGGGGGCTCGGTGCCTCGGGCGCGCGCTGGCGGGATACAGTGCGTTTGCGGGCTGTGCGCGGCTATGTCTTTTTCGCAAAAACCTATCGTCGACCTCGTAGGTTAAGCCTCCTCAGGGTACAACCTCGGGCGGATATTCGAGGTTTCGCAGCGTTTCTGTCAGGGAGCGTGGCTGACAGTGCTTCGGTTGAATCTGGACCCCCCGAGCTGGAAAGGAAAAGGACCTGTGGACCCCAGAGGTCCCCAGGAGGCCCCCAGGAGGTTCCAAACAGGCCCCCAAGAAACCTTCTCACGATCTATGCGCGGTGGCGGGATGGGTCTTTCTTGCGCGCCCTGTGTACGTAGAGCCGTTACATACAGCTGTTTAGGGATTTCCCCCAAGGCAAAATCGGGCTCTGTCATGCAGCTGTAGCTGTTCCCCTTCTCGCGCCTGTTCGCCCTGAAATGTCAGCCTGGTTATGTTTTGCGCGGGTCGTCTGCTCTTTCGATTGCTTTCGACGGATGGATATTTTTCACCCGTCGAGGAGGAGGAGGTGGTCAGGCTTCGGGGTGCGCGCAGACATTCCCCCAGGTAGTCCCAGCTCGGGGCGCGGAACGCTCCAGGGGCGCTGCCGGAGGCTGCGCCAGGGAGTTGAGACCGTCCCAGATTCGGGGACCTTTGAGGCAACCTGGAGCTTCTCGGGTTCTGTTGAGGCTACCGGGGCCTGGGGGGGTTGTCTGCGCACAACCTGAAGACTTCTCAGGAGGAGGACGAGGAGGAAGAGGAGGAGGAGGAGGAGGAGGAGGAAGACGAGGAGGAGGACGAGGAGGAGGAGGAGGAGGAGGTGGAGAAACAGGAGCAGGAGGAGGGGGAGGAGGAAGAGGCGGAGGAGGAGGAAGATGAGGAGGAGGAGGAGGAGGAGGAGAAGGAGGAGGAGGGGGAGGGGGGGGGAGGGGTGGAGGAGGAGGTGGTGGAGGTGGAGGAGGAGGAGGAGCAGGAAGAGGAGGAGGAGGAGGAGGAGGAAGAAGACGAAACATGTGAATACTAATACTAATAGGGACAATAATAGTACTGATAAGAAGAAGAGTCAGAACACGAACAATAATAACAATGGTAACAAACCATAGTACTAATACCATGAATACGAATACTAATAGTGCCACCAAGAAAAATACGAGTATGAGTAATACTAATAATAATACTAGTAAGGCTAATCCTACGAATAATACTGATACGGTGAGTCATAGCAATATGAAGACTCATAATGACATTCCTAAGGTTAGTAATATCAGTACTAAGAAGAATATGAATACTCGTACTTATACGAAGCATTTTAAGGATAGGAAGAATACTAATAGCAATAAGTTGCGAACACAACATAATATTAACATTACTAATAATATTCAAACACATGCTGATATGAACAGTAAGCGTACTAATCATACTACTGACAACAATTATAATAGTAATACAGGTACTAGCAAGAATCTGGATGATACTAACACTACGAAAAAGAATAACATGACTAATACTAAGAAAAGGCGAATAGTAATTTATCAAATGCCAATAATAATACTAATCAGAAACTGGTGAAACAACTACAGCGAATCATGACAAGACACATGCTAGTAATAATATTAAGAACCATACGACCAGTAACAACAATATTGATATCAATGATATTCGTATTATTAATACGAGTCAATTAATAATAGTGGTATTAATACGAATCATGCTGCGACTCATGATAATACTAATAATGATGATCATACTAACACTAGCAATATTTACAATAGCAGTCAGAAGAATAATCTGAATACTATAAAGAATACTGAGGCGACTAAAGCTACGACGAAGAAGACGAATATTTTTGGTACTGAGAAACAGAATATGAAGACACCGAGGAGGAGGTGGAGGCGGAGGAGGAGGAGGAGCAGGAGGAGGAGGAGGAACAGGAGGAGGAGTAGGATGAGGAGGAGGGGGGGGGGGGGCGGAGGAGGACGTGGAGGAACATGAGGAGGAGGAAACTGATGATGATGATGCTGATGTTGATGATGGTGACGATGATGATGCTGATGCTGATGATGATGATGATGCTGATGATGATGACGATGCTGATGATGATGCTGATGATGATGATGACGATGCTGATGAGGCGGAGGTGGAGGCTGAGGAGGAGGAGGACGAGGAGGAGGAAGAGGAGGAGCAACAGGATGAGGAGGAGGATGGGGAGAATGAGGAGGAGGAGGAGGATGAGGAGGAATATATGAAGCGGAATAACAATCAGCATACGACTCCGAACCAATAAGATTATTAATGTTTAGAACACTGAGAACAAACAACTTCTGCAACTACTAAGCAGACTCATGGTACCATTAAGAAGAAGACGCATATCAGCCAGCGTGTACTCCAAATAGATTAGACGACTCAAATCACGGAATCAGGGAACTCGAGCATGTTTGGAACCCGCAACTCAGCAAGCACGCGCGCACGCGCGCTGGGCAAGCAAGCAAGCAAGCAAGCAAGCAAGCAAGCGTGCAAGCGCGCAAGCAAGCACGCAAGCAAGCAGTCAAGCAAGCAAGTATAGGCATAGGAGCGCTCAGATGCGGTGCATAGGCATAGGCTTAGGCATAGGCGTAGGCATAGGAGGTATGGGGGGGAGGCATCGGCATAGGCATAGGCACCGGCACCGGCATAGGCATAGGCATAGGCATAGGCATAGGCATAAGCATAGACATGGGAACTGGAGGGGGGGAAGGGGGCATATGACTTACGGGTGTGTGTGTGTGTGTATGGGGTAGGTGGGTGGGGCAACGGACCAATGAGTATATTCTGGGTTCGAACTCCTATAGGGCAGACTTCTTTGGAGAATAGGAACAGTAAGAAGACGGTTCATAGTAATGCTGTAACCAATATTATTAAGCGTAATAATAACCACAATACCACCACGACTAATCACATTAATAATAATAGCACGGCGAATTTTACTAACCGCCATGCTCATACCCATGATAAAAAAAAGATGATTCATATTGGGACTGCGAATAAGAACATGCGAACACACTTATGCATACTTGTAGACATAATGACCGCAATTCCACACTAATAATGATCCTATTACTAAGAAGAGGTATGCGACGACTAATACTAATAGTACGAATAATATTGTCAGTACTAAGACGAATGCGACTAACACTAATCTTACGAAGAAGATATGACGGCGAATCATAATAGTAATCCTGCGAGCACTCATAATCATGTTAGTAAGCATGATATCAATCATGTTATTTATACTTATCATAATTACACTAATAATACGAATACGAATAATATTCAACGAGTAACACACATAGTGAGACTAATACTCAGACTACTAACAATACTGATGCTACTATTGTTAATACTACGTAGTATCATTGATAATAGAACACGAAGACTAGGGAAAGTGATAACATCAAGAAACATACTGATACTAATATTAAGAATAAAGAATCAACATAAGACTATTAAGACTACCGATGTTAAGAACAGACAGGATGAGGAGGGTGTGGGGACCGCTGGCTTAGGACATGGAGCAAGAGATGATGCAGTTCAGCATAGACCAGGCGGCCAGCCTGCGGCTCCAGAGCGGCTGTCTCGGGGTGTGGCCGTTCGGGGGCAAGGGAGCCAGGAGGAAAAGGAGGAGGAGAATGAGGAGGAAAAGGAGGAGAAGGAGAGGAGGAGGAGGAGGAGGAAAAGGAGGAGAAGGAGGCGGAGCAGGAGGAGGAGGAGGAGGAAAAGGAGGAGGAAGAAGACCACTTCAAACTCAATATTAATCAACGGTGATGGAATACACCCTCCCTCCGAAGTCCCTCTTCATAGGCCCCTAAAAGGGCGCATTCCCACTGGAGGAAGTGCCTCGTTGGGAGACAACCGTCGGAAGACCCAGACAAACATGCCAAAACACCGTCTTCGGGACTCCAGCGCCACGGATCAACCTGACTGTTGCGTCTTGGCGATCTTGAATCGTGCCAGAACAGCATTCTTGGGATTTCAACACCGCGACTCGACGTAATTCTTGCGCTCTCACATTCGTGAGTCCTTCCGCAACACCAATTCTGGTACGTTGACGATGGGACTCCCTGAAACACTTGCACAGTTTTAAGACGAGTGTGCGCGGCGCTAAGGCGAAAACCACATTTTGGAAACGATCCGCCCTGACTCCGTGACGCGCTTATAAATTTTGAAAAATGAGAGTGCGCGGCGCTGAGGCGAGAGCCACATTGTAAAAAAACGGTTCGCCCTCAGACCGTGAGTTTTTTTGCATCTTCTAATTTTGAGACGAGTGTGCGCGTCGCTGAGGCGAGAGCCGCATTTTTAAAACCGCCCGCCCTCAATCCGTGGAGCTCTTGCAAGTTTCGAAAGCGAATCTGCGCGTAAGGGGAGCATCACATTTTGAAAGCCACCCGTCCTCCAT